TTGTATTATTGTGTAATTTAATAACAATAAATAAAAATTATTAATATTAATGAAAATATAGTTTTTATATAATTTTTTCTCTGGAAAAAATATTCTTTTAAAAATAATATTGAATGAAGTTCTTATACTAATATTACTAATATTATTTAGGAAATTTTTATTTTTCATAATTTATATATTTATATTTATTATTATATTATATATTCATATACAAATATAAAATTTTTTAAAATTCAAGTTATGCAATTGATAAATTGTTGCATTATTTTATGGTGTCTCATTAATTATTAAAAAAAAGTTGAATGCATAACAAAAATGATTTCTATATTTATTAATTTATATATTTTCATATTATTTTTTGTCTTAAACATTTTCATGATTTAATGTCATTATATTATATCAATAACATCAAGTTTTTTAGATATTCACATTGGAACTTTTTAATTTTCTTTTATAAATGCTAAGTCATATTTAAATGTGTTGTAAACACAAAATATGTAAAAACGCATTTTTAAGATCAGATATAAATATTTCGAACATATAATAACTTTATGATATTCAAATAATAATTTTGAAATATTACAACGTACAAATATAATACATGACAATATGCTGAAATATCGAAATTATGATTACATTACATAATAATTATATATATCGTACATTTTCATAATAATTATAACTCAAAATACATATAATATGTGATGTTACTATATTATTCTATACGTTCTATGTATATACATCTGTTATATTTAACTTGTGCATTTTAAATTCTAACATCGAACAATTAACATTTATCGCATATGAAATACAAATGTTCTGAATTTTATAGTACAAATTTAGTAGTTATATTTATAATTTTTATTTAAGAAAGTTAGTATTTTATACTTGTATTTTCATTAAAAATAATTAAAATTGTGAATTCTATGTGAATTAAAATTTTATATTCACATAAAATATTATTATAAGAATTAATTATTATATTTATAATGGCATTTTCCCGTATACCTCGTCGTGAAGGTTATATAGTTGCAATACTTGGTGCTATCACTGGTTATTATATTTGGAACCAACCATTAAAACAATTTGCTGAAAAGAATTTCTCCAATACAGACATAAATAAAGTAAGTTTTTCATATTATGAAAAAATAAATGAAATAATATTAAAAATAAATAATTAAGTTATATTTTTTTGTTTTATGTAATGACATATCTAAGATTTAATTTAGATTTATATTTTATATTTCTATTTTATTAAAATAAATTAATAAAATATCACATGTCATTAACATATTTTAAGTTTAATTTCTTTTTGTGTTATTACAAATTGACATACATATTCTAATAACACTATATAACCTATATAATAATCTATTATATATCATAACTTTTTAGTTTTTTATATTTATTCTAAATGAAATATTAATTATTAATCAAATTTATATTTGTTGAAATCAAATTTGGTTTATGTTTGACTTATAAGAATTATTTTAATTTTATTTAAATGATAAATTAATATTGAATTATATTTAAATATAATAATTTTTAAAAAAAAATTTCTTAATATTAAAATTTATATTTTTGGAATCTATTCATTTATCAAATATCCTCATCTAAATTATTAGATTTTAAGAATGAAAAAAAAATTCATCAAATATTATTGAAAGATATAAAAAAAAAAAATTTCATTATTATCATAATAATTAAAACTATTTTTTATTTTAAAGGATATGTATCATGATCAAAAATAAATTTTTTATACATCCTATGATCAAAATAAGTTTTATGATAGCTGGTGTTCTAGGTTGTACTGCTATTTATAAGTAAGTATAATTATGTTATTTATTTATTAACTTTATTAACTTTATTGATGATAAAAATATTAACATAATAATTAACATTGTTTTATATTATTTATATTCAGATTTTATTTCAAACAATATGTTAATTTTTTTGCAAAAAAACAAGCTGAAGAAGAAGCAAATACATTATATGAAAAACTTAAAGAAAAAGAAGAAAAACTATCAAAAATAGAATATAATTAAATGTATTATAAGAAGTTTGTAGATAATATTTAATGTATATATTTAATAAATAATACATTCAATAATTATATATTATACTTTATTGTTATTATTATTATTATTATTACTATTATTATTAATTTGTATGTTGGTTTTAATTTCTATGATCATTTGCCAATATATTTTATTAAAGAATATATTAATCCTTGAATTTGTCTCCATAAAAGGGTATATATCTAGCTATTACTTTCCAATCTGTGAGATAAACCACTGTCAAACCAGCAGCTCCTGTATAAACCATTAAAGATGGAATCCTAATTCATAAAAAATTATATTTATTATGATTTATAAAATATATGATGATTTATAAAAACATAAACTTAATACAGTATAATAAAATTAACAAATATATAATAGATGTATATAATAAATATATAAATTATATTATATAATTAACTATTAAATTTAACCTAGCAAATCATAGATATTTAAAATTTTTGAAATAAATTTTAATTGATATATTAAATAAAATAAAATTATTGAAGAATAAATTAAATATTTACCATCTTGTAGCGATTTCGAAGTGTCTTTTTCCTAATTTCATTTTGTAATATCTTAATAATCAATATTACACTTGAGACTGCAAATGATTATTATATATAATACACGAAATGTTTGTAATTGTTCAAAAAAATAAGTACTTACTATTTCAATAATTTTTATGAATATAATAACGTAAAATTAGTTATTTCTTTCTCCTGTTATACAATATATAATATTTAAATTATGATTTATGATATAATAGTGAAAAAAGATTACATGGCAGTATTTTCATTGAAAGATGTTAACTTTAGTAATTTTTAGATCTATTGGTAACACTGATCTTACAAAAGATCAAAATTATATACCAACAAACTTTTAGCAGCCTATTTTATATATATAGTAAGAATAAATCCAACAGTATTCTTCAATATAGATTCTTTTTTCAATATAAATAATCAAATTATTATAATTAGTTTTAAATTCCTACAATTTTATAAAATTTATAACAATTTTTAATATCATAATAAATAAGAATACAACGAATCAATTATAGTTCAATATAAGAATTAGTTAACTATTCAAATTAATTATGACAATATTATAGTTTTTTCTATATTTTATATTAATTATTTCATTTTTATTTTTTTGTGTGCAGCATAGTTTTTTGAAAGAAAAATTATGAAAAATATTTTATGTTTAAAATGTTTAAATTTTTATTTTACATCTTATTTTATTTTAATTTCTTACAGCTATATAATAATATAACGTTATTACAATTAATAAAACACTATATATGTATATGAAATAAAAATAACAATACTATTGTATAGTAATAGCATTATTTTTTTTATATCTTTTAATTGCAATAATCATCATATTTATACATTATTAAAATATAAATATTAAAATAATTATGTATATTTAATTAGTTTTTTTAGAAAAATAATTTAATTATATTATGTTTATATTTATTATTATAATTAATAAAAACGTTAGTATTATAATTAGTTACTACTTTTGAAATTTAGAAAAGATTTATTTGTGACAACATCTAAAATGTTAATTTCTATGAATCAATTATTTAAACACGGAATGATAACCAGATGTTAACAATATCAGGGAGTTCCCTGATTTCTATGAATTTTTATGTAATGAAGTCACTTCTTGAATTTTTAAAAATAAAAATAAGATAAAGTGTGAAAAAACTTATTAGTATAAAAATTATATATATGTGTATATTTCAATGACATGAAATTGTATTTATTATAATAAATTAAATATTATTAATTTTACTTGTTAAAATTGTTATTTTGGTAAATATCAATTATTTTAAACATATATGTAATTACAATTTTTATGTATTATATTTTTTTTATATAAATTTATATAAATATTTCTAATATTTCTTTTTGTTCCTTAGATTATGGAGAATAATGTGAATGAATTTATACCAAGAACTTATCAAATTGAATTGTTTGAAATTGCATGTAAACAAAATGTTATTATTTATTTACCAACAGGAGCTGGAAAAACGTTTATTGCTGTAATGCTCATAAAAGAATTAAGTGCAGATATAAGAAAGTATGTTCATGAATTATATGTTGAATATGATGTAACAAATTTTTAAATAATTATATTTTAATATTAATTATTAAAATGAATTTTATATTTAGATCTTATGATAAAGGTGGTAAACATACTGTATTTATAGTGAATACAGTACCTTTAGTTATGCAACAAAGTGAATATATTACAAGATTAACTGGTTTGTCTTGTGCAGCACTTAGTGGAGATGTGGGAATTGATGTTTGGACAAATGAGGAATGGAATGCACAATTAAAAGAGCATAAGGTATTAAAAGTTGATTATATTGGTATATAATGATCAAAAAAATTATTTGTATATATAAATATATTCGATCAAGTTTTAATCAATTTTTTTATCTACTTCTATATTTCATCCAAATTTTATATAATGTCAAATTTTTATACATGAAAGTACTATTATATATATAATTTATATATATATATAAAATTATACAAAATGAAAAAAATTTGATTTAAAATATTTATAATACTCATTAAAAAAAATAAAAAATGAATAATAAACAACTGCTAAAAGTATTTTTTTTTTTTAGTAGAATCAACATTTATTATTTAATAGTTATTTAATTATTATTTAATAGAATTTAAAATTTCACAAGAAAAGAATATATTACAAGATTAATTGTCTTGTGCAGCACTTAATGGAATGTGGGAATTGATGTTTGAACAGATGCTTTTTGAATTCATTAAATATTTTGTATTCTTTTTAGTGAATACAAATATTAAATCTTTTTTTTTTTTATCTTATATATTTGATATCTTACTAATTAAAATATATAAATGTATAAATATGTGTAATAAATATAATAATGTACAAATATTGTTTATATTATATTTTATATTATTATAAATATTACTAATAATTTTTGTATATAAATTAATGAAATTACATGAATTATACATTTAAACTTATACATATAAACTTTTTAAAAACATTATATTGTAGGTTTTAGTAATGACATCACAAATTTTAATAGATGCACTCTGCCATGGATATATATTTCTGAATAGAATAAATTTAATTATTTTTGATGAATGTCATAGAGCAGTAAATGATCATCCTATGAGACAAATAATGCAATACTTTAAAAATTGCTCTAAGGAGGATCAACCAAAAGTACTAGGACTTTCAGCAACATTATTAAATTCTAATGTAAAATTAGAAAAAATACATTCAGTTATTGAGGTAAATTTTATTTATATAATCATTTATAAATTTTATTTACAAATGAATACATAATCTCTCACTTATACAGGATATATATTTAGATATTTTGAATCTTTAGATATAATTATTTATATCTAAATATATTACATAAAATGTTAATATATATATACTTATATATATGAAATATCTTTAGAAATCAAAACATAAATTATTTTATATTTTTGATTTATTTTTTCATATTATTCATATCAATTGTATTATTAGTTCAATTATTTATTATTTTATATTTTAAAAAATATTTCAAATAGAATTTAATTTATTAACCGATAATAAATGATTTACCTTAAAAAATCAACATATTATATAATAATATAACAATATATTTATTATAAAATGAGTTATCACTTTGAAATCTTGAAAATGCCACTTAGAAAAATTTTATGATATAACAAAATAAAATATTTTTTTTAAAACAAAATAAATTCTGAAATGGTTGTTTATGCTGTGTAATTTGAGAGATTATTGTATCAAATAAAATATTTATATATTTTAATTAATTAATATATAAAATTTAAATTTTATTTTATATGTAGTCTTTGGAAATTACATTTCATGCAAAAGTAGTTACAGCAATAACATCTTTTTATACAAATCCAAATGAAAAAATTATTGAATTTGATCAGTATTTAATAGACAATGTTGGAAATCAAATAAATAATATTATTCAGGAGACAGTGAGAATTTTAAGTTGTGTAATTTTAAGAGATAATTTCAAATATAATGAATCAAGTGTAATTTTTAGACCAAAATCTATAAATAAAAAATTGTTATCTATATTAAATAATATCAAAGAACAATTTTCAAATACAGGTATATATATATATATATATATATATATA